CACCTTGCCGACTGCCCCAAGATATGGGTGGCCTGTGACGGGGGACACCTCACCGACAGGTCGACTACATTGGTCCCCTTCCCCTATCCAAAGGCTCATGCTGTGCCTTGATGTGCATGGACACAACTACTGACTTGCTGACCCAGGCAAGCAGGCCACACAGTGAGCCACCATCTGAGGCCTAAAGCAGCTTGTGATGCCTATGGAAAACTGGTCCTTGGAAGCGACCAAGGCACCCATTTCATGGGACATCAAGTACAAGAATAGGCAGACACCCTCAATATAAATTGGAGATTGTAGCTACCATACAAGCCCACTGGAACTGGCCTCATAGAAACATACAGTGGCCTTTTGAAAGATGCCCTGAAGACTGACTCTAACTCATTTCTGGGGTGGACGACATAACTTTCTGACTGCCCACAAACCTTGAACTAATGGCCTAGGGTAGGACAAGTATCTCCCAACAACCTCCTCACTAGACCTTGGGTGGCACCTATCCACCTACAGTTAAGTACACAGGAGCCCTGGGCTGGGACAAAATACCACCCTTACGACTCTTCTCTGGAAACTCCTTTCTAGGGTGGGGCCGTATGGTAGCTGCCATCAGCAACCATTCTGATTATTTGGTCTGCACTGAATTTCCCATTGCTGCCTCCACCGGCCTACCATGGTGGATCCACCCTGCGAACCAGACATGTTGGGGACTGGCTGCAAGGCTGGAAAGCTCCTCACCTCTTCTTCGAGTACATGCATGAAAAAGTGTTTTCCCTCATGAGGGAACAGGCCAACTGCACCAAGCCATGGCTTTCATATGCAGTTTGGGACGGTGCGGAGTGGCTGTCAGTATCACAGGTGGAGGTGCATGTGCCCATGTGTGTCGCATGCAGAACTGGTACTATAAATGAAACCGTTTAGCTCATGGGAAGGATGCTGGGAGCCCTATGCAAGAAGATAGCAGTAATGACTGCTGTAGACCACTGGGGGCAGTCTACTAGTGGGGCACAGGCCCATCTTCTCCCATGGGGAGCTCTGTGGGCCTGTGGCCAATATGGTAGGCCTTACCTCCCATTTAATTGGTACTGGGTGTTGCACCTGGAGAGAACCATATATCTCAGGGTGAGTGTTAAATACTTTTCCAAGTGTCCCTGGAAATTGGGACTCATTTGGGGCACACTACCGAGTCAAGTGCTCTGACTGGCGGTTCTGCACCCTAGCCATTTTTGTGCCCCCTGCTGGTATTATTCTAACCCATGAAGCCACTAAGGCCCTAGCAAGTCACACTGGCATAGCCTGTGACCACAGCAGGTGTAGTGCAGCCCTGGATTCTGATGAGATAACTCAAATGAGGAAAGTTGTGTTGCAAAACAGAATGGCATTAGACTTACTCACTACTACCCCAGAGGGCACCTGTGCCATTCTGCACACTGAGTGTTGCGTATGTATACCTGGTAAGCCTCACAGCGTATCCCAGGCTTTAACTGCCCTAGGAGCTGAGAGTAATCATACATTGGCCATAGCCTCTGACCTCTTTACAACTTGGTAGAATTTTCTAGGTTCCTGGGGACGTTCCTTTCTCCTAGGTCTCTTTGGGTTTTCTCTTGCATTGTTGGTCTTGGGGTATAGCCTTTACTGTATTTGTGGTATATGGGTACAGTGTGCCAATATGCTCACTTCACAGGTCCCCTATCAGAAGAATGTAATACAAAGATTGTGAGGTGGAAGAGCAGTGTTGGGGTGGAGTGTGGTGTCGTGCTGGACATGGCTCCTCCAACCCCCACAGTGGAAGGCTGGCTGGAAGGCCCCTGGCCAGAACGCATGTGTATATTGCTTTGGAAATGGATTGTAATTCCCTCCTTATCTCCTTTTGGGAGCAGCTTCTTGTCCTGTGTGATTGCTTCTTGACCTTTTCCCTCTGCTTGTACAAACTTAGATAATGTAGTTTAAAGTCACATGCAAGACATGTGCCTCCTTTGTCTGGGACCCCTTAAAACGAGTCTGTGACTCAGGGAAGTACCGTCCTGCTTGGCTGCTCTGCCGCCACTGGTGCTCCCGTAATGTGAGCAGTAAAGGCTATGTCTGCTCCATCCAGCCCTCCTAGGGCTTTTTTTGGTTTATCTGAATGAACAGTTAAGGTCCCTGGGCTCCACCTGTTGCTTTATAAGGGCTGAAAGACTTCCCCCATCCCCAAGGAATAAACAAAATTGAACCTTTTAAAGATGCAATGCATTTTCATTCTCACAACTTTCCTCCTTCTATCTTATCGTCAGTGGATAATACATTACAGATTTCAACTTCATTTGAATAATGGAGTTCTGTATATTTGGGGGTTAGTCAGACATCATTTTGGGTAAACCATGGGAAGCTTTGAGAAAAGGCATTGACTTGCAAATAAAATCAAAAGAAAAAGTCATTCAAATTTTGGGCATACCTTGTGCTTCCAGATTGACAGAGTAGTAGTAGGTAGTAGTTTCTACCTCTGCAGATACCATTTTTTAAAAGATTTCATTCATTTATCTTCAGAGGGGAAGAGAAGGAGAGAGAGAGAGAGAAATATCAATGTATGGTTGCCTCTCGTGTGTCCCCTGCTGGGAAGTGGCCTGTAACCCAGGCATGTGCCCTGACTGGGAATCGAACCATGATCCCTTAGTTCGCAGGCCTGCACTCAATCCACTGAGCTACTCTAGCCAGGGCTTGCAGATACCATTTTTAATTATATTTGTCAGTGGTTCTTCTCTTCTTTGCCTTGTCAAACTCTCTGCTCTTCATTTACTTTTCAAGATCTAAATCTTTGACCATTTCTCCTCAAGATTAAAATAAATCTATATTTTCTCCTAGTCTTTTTTCTGTGTATTACCCTTCAGCTACTATTACTATCATTTGCCAGCTTATTGTTAAACAAGAAAAAGATAGTCATTTAACTTTTATTTTATCTTTTTTTATTGTTCTTCAAGTACAGTTGTCTCCATTTCCCCCGTCCCCCACCAATCCCCCCACCACCCCAGCCATCCCCAATAGTCTCTTAACTTTGAGTTTGGTACTTTTTCATATGGGTGAATTTATGTGCATATGAATTGAAAACATTAAGATTTCACTTGATCTAAGTAAACTAAAGCTTTGAAACCAGCAGCCAAAAAACCCCATAAATCTTATAATTTTCTTCTGTATGAAAACATATTTTAATTTTTGAGAAAGATCAAATGAGAGAACACTAAATAATTAAGTAAAGATTATAGTGCTGCTCTATAATTATCTAGAAATAGTGTCTACTCATAGATATCCATACTGTTCTAACTCTTTAAGAGAAAAGGATACTTTGAAATTTAGGCACATATTTAGAGGAGGAAGGGAAAAGAGAAAGAGTAGAATAAAAAAAAACAGGGGGATGATTTATTTAGATTCACATTTTTTAGTTTTTAAGTATTTGTTTTAGCTTATCTGCTAAACATTTTATCAACAATCTGCAAGAGACTCCTGTCTACTTTCTACCCCCTAAAATTATTATGGCAACTTTTGTCCAGTTTCCCAGGAGAAACTCAGTGTCAGCAATAGCAGGAGAGTGAGATATGATTGTGAGGCTGAGAACTTTAAGGAAACACTCAGATAAGCAAAAAGATATTTATACACAGAAGAGGTAGCCATTGTTTTCAAGGAAAACAGTGAAAGTAAAAGTCAATAACTCAAGAATACAAAGACAAGTAAGTAACTGTCTTATTTTCCAGCTCCTGTACTTATCCATGATATGCATATTTCTATGCACATTCCAGGATTTGTTTGCTGGCCCACAAAACCAAACAGCCCATTAAAAAAATGTCTTTGGGGTTTATTTTTACCAGAAAGTCTGTCCCTTTTTCAGTGCCTTTAAAAGTACAATATTAGTAGACAAGAATTTGATAATCAAAGTAGAGAACAATTTACACTGCAGAAAGGTATTATGAAACACTTCTGTCCCTTGCTCCTTGAACTTTGGAGGAATAAAAATGTCTAGCACATTCTTTTCTCTCTGGAACTTGACCTGTAATTTAGATACTGTTCCTCAGAGAAGTACCTGCCAGCCTATCTTTTTACAGCTTTAGTTACAAAGCAACTGAGAACTCACTGTTCTAAAAGGACAGAACAGTAATGTGTTTAAATGGAGTTAGAGCATAGACTTTAAAAAAGAAATGCCGAAAGTGGTCAGATGTTCTGTCCTTCCTCTTTGTGTTCCCTCTTGAAGTGAAAAGGGGATGAGGCAAGTGGCTGCTAGAATCCTTGCCTTATATCCTGGTTTACCACAGGACCGTAAGGGAGCAGGGGGATGTGTACAGGCCCCTCTGCCTATTTGAAGTTGTCCTAAAGCAGGGACTTAGTTGCAGAGTTTGAAGAGTTTGGTTGATGTTGGTAATAATAACACACGTTCTTTCTGGTCGACTACAAAATGAGGCGACAAACTTTAGAATTTGAAAAACTAAATTTCAGTGTACTTCTTAAGCGTGAGTAAGGCTGGGAAAGAAGAAAGGGGGTGTGGGAGTCTTTTTTAGTGTTTACAGCACTTGGATGCTTGACAAACAGGGCACATCAAGCTAATTGTTCTTGAAGCAGGAAATCTGTAGTAGAGGAAGCAGGTGTTGTGTGATGATTACCACATTTGAAATTACCGTATTAACTACTTTGCTCTTTTGAGTTTGACCCCGAAATAGTCAGTAAGCTTTCTGGAAGATGCTGTCCCTTTTATCTATATATATACTCTCACTAAATCAGTCGATTATGATGGGAGAAGAAAGTGCTTAAGTAAATTTGAAACTAGATAGCATACATGTGGCTGTATTGACAGTATCCATTTTTCTTTCTTTTTTTAATTTTATTTTTGACTTTCAGCATCCCATACTTTCAGAAAACCTGTAACTAAGAGTGATTCTTATTTTTCAAATTGTTTTCAGACATTTCATGTTCATGTAAAGTTGGCTTATTGATTTCCTGATTTTTCTTTATTTTTTTGTTTTGTCCATTTTATTTTTAATCAGCTACATCAAATGGGTCTTTGGAGGGCCTGGATAACCAGGAGGGAGGGGTGTGCCAGACAAGAGCCATGAAGATCCTCATGAAAGTTGGACAAGGTAAAGACCATCTGCTGCTTCATGAAGCCACTATAATCTGGTTGAGCCCCCAGCTAGTGTGGCACCAGTATTGCTAACACTCACCTTCAGTTGTTCTTCAGTTTAGTTTTGAAAGCAAACCTTTCTCTGCACCTTGAGCCACTGAGATTTCCTCAAGTCATTGTAACAGACTTCTTTTTTGGAGATTAAAATTGAGGTCAGCCAGGTAGAATATCTGTTACCACATATGTGTATATATATTTTTTTTCTTAAAAGTAGAACACCTCTGTGGTTCAAAATTAAAATATCCAGAATAAAAACACAGTTTCTGCATTTTTGCCCATTTCTGCATTTTGAGTACAGAGACTTTTGTTTGTTGAGCCTTGTCATTTATAGATAACCTATTGTGCAGAAAAAAAATTACCCTTCTAATTAGAAATTGGGATAGTAGTCAATCAACTTGCTCAGTTAAATTGAAATGTCATCTGCAATGCTCTGCCTGCCAAATGCAAGAATCCCTATAGTTTCCACAGATGGCCTCACAATCTAAAACTCTGAAATAACTAGTATAACTGTTTTGTTTTAAAAGGAACATGATATTCTTATATCTCATTGTAGTTTGCATAGAGAATCTTATGGTCACTGCTATCCATGCCTCTTGAGATACATATCCAGATCCTAAAGCTAGATTTTATCAGACGTTTGTGCTGTAAGTAATAATTTGTTTTCCATATAGATGCGAGTTCTGCTGGGTCAACCAGGCATAATGATCCAACAAGACGTCCAGAACTAGAAGCTGGTACAAATGGAAGAAGTTCAACAACAAGTCCCTTTGTCAAGCCAAATCCAGGTATAGCAGTGTGACCTGTGTGTGTAAGTCTGTGTACACCATACACTTAGTATCTCAAGAGGTAGAACAGAGTTGAAGTACATGCACACCAGTAGGGTTAAATTGTAGTTACTGAAATCAGTAATCTTTGCTCTCAGTTAGCTGTTATTAATTATTAAGTAAGAACAAATCATTCATTCCTGCAAAAGTCCTACATTCAAAAAAGTGGAATTCATCAGATGTAAGTGCCAAGTATTAGCACTGCTTTCTCAGAAAAAAGTTACTTCCATTGGCTGACACTTTTTCATGCTGCTTGCAACACTAGTTTAAAGCCGATGTTAATGTATATATAATTAATGTTCTAATCCCTCATCTAATTATATCTAATCCACAAAGTGCCTGACTGATCCTCTTCTACATTTTAGATGGTAACATCTTAAAATATTACACAATGTCATGTTTTTTAGGCAGTTATTGTAGAAAAACTTTTTTTTTTACATTTTCAGTGTAATATAAAATATTAAGCAGATTCCTGGCAAAAGTTGAAGATACCAGACAAAATTGGCTGTCATTTCACTTCATTTTCTTCACAGTTTTCGAACAAATAGCTATGCATTTGTTACCATGCTAATGGATTTTTTATATGGTAGTTGTTGAGCAGACATTAGCAGTTTAGTATTAGGAATCTGTATGCCTGGTTGGTAGTCATGTGAATTTAGCATTTGTAGCAGTATTCTGTCTCTTTCCAAGTGTCAAGGAAGGGAGTTGTTATTTCTAACTTTCAGTGATAAGATGTGTCAAATTCTTATGACAAACTGATAAATGGATAATATAATGGTGCCAGGCAATTTTTTAATGCTTAACATTTGGGTTGGCAGTCTGTTCAGCATAAGAGTTTCTGCTGCCTTCCAAATATACTTTAAGTGTAAATCAAATAATACAAACGAGTTACGAGTTGAACACTCTCCCAGGCTCCATCACTCCCTGGTATTCCTGTGCTGCTTTGTGGGTAGGCAGGGCTTGTCTGGAGAAGGCAGGGGTTTGGATTCTCAGGAAGCCCCCATTTCTAGAGGAAAGCAGAGGACCAGTGCAGGCCACTTCCTTTTCCACCCCTGCCATGGCCACAGGCTGGCTGACATGGATTAAGGCATGAAGCAAGATCAAGGGCTGACTGTCCCAGCCCATCCACATGGTATGAAAAGGAAACAGTGTGATTTGGGACCAGCATGAAAATCCCATCTAGAGTCACATCTGCTTTCACATTGATTGCTGACTTCTACCTTTTACATTTAGCTATTAAACAAGGTAATTGGTTTTTAAAGTCTACCTGCCAGTTAAATCTTTGGCCCTGCTTAAATTTCATGTTTTTCAAGGGCCCTAAAAGAAGCCTGTTAGCACTCAGGGCAGCGATAACTGTTCTGGGTCTTTCTCAACCCGTGCAGGTTCTAGCACAGACGGCAGCAGCGCCGGACATTCTGGGAACAATATCCTTGGTTCCGAAGTGGCCTTATTTGCAGGGATTGCTTCAGGATGCATCATCTTCATCATCATCATCATCACACTGGTGGTCCTCTTGCTGAAGTACCGGAGAAGACACCGGAAGCACTCGCCGCAGCACACAGCCACGCTGTCCCTTAGCACGTTGGCCACACCCAAGCGCAGTGGCAACAACAATGGCTCGGAGCCCAGTGACATTATCATCCCACTGAGGACTGCAGACAGTGTCTTCTGCCCCCACTATGAGAAGGTCAGCGGGGATTATGGGCACCCCGTGTACATAGTCCAGGAGATGCCTCCCCAGAGTCCAGCAAACATTTACTACAAGGTCTGAGACTTGGCGGTGCCTTCGCTTTCCCGGAGGAAACTTACTGTCCCGCTGCCACCAGCCCATGGAGGGCTGGATGCCCTTGTGTCTCAAGTGGACTGAAGCACAGCGGGGGGAGGGAACACTCCTTCTCTGAAGAGCCCCGTTGAGTTGGACAGCTTACCTAGTCAGTAGCGTTTCGGCCGTGGTGAACACAGATGCTCACCGACAGCTGGAAGACTTACGTAGAAGATGCCCATTAGGACTGTGGCACTTGCCTCACACCTCTGATCCTCGAAGCCATGTGCCGCAGTCACTCAGGCCTATGTGAAGCCAAGGGAAGAGACAGAGTGGTTGGTGGACAAGAGAGCCTTGAGCATCCTGGGTAGGTGCCCGGGGACGCCACGCCTGGAAATGCCTCAGGTGTGCTCCTCGATTGTCTCACAGACCTCTGGCTAAGTGGGGCTCGTAAAGAGCTCTCACTTTCAGTCCTCACTGTTGCACACTCCTGTTATCCAGGGCTCTGCCGTACTTCACAAGAGGTTTCCTCTCACACCACGTTCTGTATCACTAATTGAACATTAATGTTTGGGGTCTCCTGCTCCAACCATTTGCAACAACAGCTGCAATTGATTGGGTAATAATATAATACATTTATAGAAATCGTGTTTGCTAAGAAGGAGCCTTCCTGTCAGATGCTAGGCTGTCAGTGAGGAAGGCTAGGAGTTGGTGGAAGGGAGTGGGCTAGGAGAAAGGGCTGTCTTGCAAACACAGGTCAACACTGCTGCCTCTGAAACAGAAAGCTGGGAAACGGGAAAAAAAAAAAACCCAATTAGGTAGCACAGCACTTCGGTTTCACTAAGATTTTAAGAAGCAACTAGGAGACACAACAACACACACACAGCGGCTTGGGTGCATTTAAAGGATTCACTCTTATTAAACAGCAACATGCAGGAAAAAAATAGTCCCTCTTCACTGGGTGGAACAAAGGGGCATTGATGGTAGAGAAGCTTGGAGAGGGAAGGGAGAAAGCAGGCCGCTGATGGGAGATCCCGCAGGACTGTTGTGGTACTGGCAATAAGACGTACAGCTCCGAAGCTGTAGGGAAGTCAGTCTGCTTTGGATGATGTTTAAAGCAGACTCAGCTGCTATACTTATCACATTTTATTAAACACAGGGAAAGCATTTAGGAGAATAGCAGAGAGCCAAATCTGACCTAGAAGTTTAAAAGCCAAAGGTCAAACAGGCTGTAATTTCATCATCATCTACATCATTAAATAATTCTCATATATTAAAGGTAGGTCAGATTCCCCTGTCCCCTAATGCCCCTTCCCCACCCCTCCTCCCCAATCGAGCCTTACGACGCTTTGGTTTATGGCGGTGCTGTCCAGGCTGCGGGGACCGCAGTGCAGGTACTTACTTAGCAAGGCTGCACACAGGTGCTCTGTGTCAAGGTGAAGCACATATGGCAAACCTCTTAGAGTCCTTAAGACGGAAATAAATTATGATGTCAAGGGGGAAAAGGAGGGTAGGACGTATTTATAATAGGTGTATAGAACACAAGGGATATAAAGTGAAAGATTTTTACTAATATATATTTTAAGATTGCACACAATATACACCAGAAGATGTAAAATTTATTTGTGGCAATTAAGTGGTCCCAATGCTCAGTGCTTTAAAAAAGAAAAAAATTGGACAACTTCTTCTGGGAAAAACAACATCGCTCCAAAAATAACAATAATGAGAGCAAATACAAAAATAACCAAGTCCTCTGAAGGCATCTCACGTAAGTGTAGACTAGGAAATGCAAGCCCCAAATACCAGGAAATTGATGTTTCTGCATCATATATTTAACAATGACAAGATGTTCCGGCATTTCTTTTCTGCGTTGTGTTTTCCCTTGCCTTATGGCTGAAGTGTTCACTAGAATCCACCAGGTCACATCGAGAGGGGTTCAGTTTAAAGTATGGCTTTAGCTCTCTCCTCCCACCCTCTCCCCCCAGCCCCTCTCTTTTGGGAAACAAAACGAGTAAGCAGGAAACCTACTTTTTATGTGCTATGCAAAATAGACATCTTTAACATAGTCCTGTTACTATGGTAACACTTTGCTTTCTGAATTGGGAGGAAAAAAATGTAGCAACAGCATTTTAAGGTTCTCGAACCTCCAGTGAAGACCTGCAAAAATGAGTTGCAACAGAAATTATTCTTTATTTCCTGAACCTGAAAATGATGTTGGTCCAAAGTGTGTGTGTGTGTGTATGTGTGAATGGGTATGTGCTATACATGTGTACATATATGTATAATATATATCTGCAATATATATTATATATATCTATATCATATTTCTGTGGAAGGTTGCCATGGTGACCAGCCACAGTACATATGTAATTCTTTCCATCACCCCAACCTTCTCCTTTATGTGCATTCATACAAGAACTTCTTGTAAGCCATCTAAAATTACCTTTAGGATGGGGGAGAGGGGCAAGAGGGGAAAAATGGGAAATAGTCTGATTTTAATGAAATCAAATGTGTGTATCATTGGTTGGCTACATTTTGGTTATATGCTAAACTGTGAAAAATCAGATGATGAAGAGTTACCTGCGACCAATTGAAAAATGTTCTGTGCGTCTGTTTTGTGTCTGGTGCAGAATATGACAATCTACCAACTGTCCCTTTATTTGAAGTTGGTTCAGCTTTGGAAAGTTACTGTAAATGCCTTGCTTGTATTATCATCCGTAGTCACCTGACTTTGGAATTTGCACCATAATGTTTAAGTGAAGATGCTGTAAATAGGTTCAGATTTTACTGTATATGGATTTGGGGTGTTACAGTAGCCTTATTCACCTTTTTAATAAAAATACACATGCAAACAAGACAGAAATGGCTTTTCTTACCCAGATTGTGTACATAGAGCAATGTTGGTTTTTTATAAAGTCTAAGCAAGATGTTTTGTATAAAATCTGAATTTTGCAATGTATTTAGCTACAGCTTGTTAAACGGCAGTGTCATTCCCCTTTGCACTGTAATGAGGAAAAAAATGGTTTAAAAGGTTGCCAAATTGCTGCATATTTGTGCCGTAATTATGTACCATGAATATTTATTTAAAATTTCGTTGTCCAATTTGTAAGTAACACAGTATTATGCTTGAGTTATAAATATTTTTTCTTTCTTTGTTTTATTTTAATAGCCTGTCATAGGTTTCAGTCTGCTTTAGTTCCACATTGCAGTTAGCCCCCAGAAAATGAAATCCGTGAAGTCATATTCCACGTCTGTTTCAAATTGAATTTGTTCTTAAAAAAATAAAATATTTTTTTCCTATGGAAAAAGTGCCTTCAAAGTTTTTTTCTTTTCTTCTTTTTTCTTTTCATTTTTTTGGGTTTGTTTGTTTGTTTGTTTGTTTAATTTACCTTCTACCCCATTCATTATGCTAGTTATCTGGGGCCTTCTGCCTGTGGACATTTCTGTGCCCATTTTCCAAACACAGTAGGACGGACGTGCACACAGTGGGAGTGCTGACCCTGCAGATAGCCCGCGGGTTTCCCCAGAAAACGACTGCACTCACACAAGTATCGTTTTATCATGAAGTTTTATAAAGTCCCAATCATCCTGAACAGAAATGGCTCTCGTTTCGCTCGGATTGCACAGTCTGAACAGTAAACCCGCAGAGTGAGCTGTGAGAAGGGAGGGAGGGAAACACACTTTTGTTATCTCGGTGCTTAATCCAGGTTGCTCTAGTTTCCATTCAAACAAAGCGATTTGCTATCAACAGCGTCATTTTTCTTCTCAGAATAATTCCAGAGGAAGGAAAAAGTCAAATGATCTTGGCAAAATTTTAACATTGATAAAAGCATGCTCTGCCTTGTGATACTGGATTGGGGCAAATGAGAGGCCAGCAGTGAATTCAACCACATTTTCAATGCTGGCCTTTTTGGTGACCAGGCACTGAGATGGGAGGGTTTTCCCTTGCTCTTGTGGTATATAGACTGGTCACCAGACTTACCTCCCTCAGGGGAGATCATCACCACCTGCAGGATCTGAGAGTGTGGCACTGGAGCTGCGGCAGAGGCAGCTACTCGGTAGGGAGGGACAAGTACTCAGGTCTCTTATCGACATTATTTCAGGTTGATCGATCCTTACCACCAGCAGGGAGATAGTCCAGGTAGGGAGGATGAGCAAGGCCACTGAAGTGAGGAAGCTATCCAGAAGATTGTCCAGGCCCAGCTGGCTTGCTCCAGCTCATAGTGCTAGTAAGGGTAGAATTTGTGTTTTGAAAGCCCTCCTGAAAGGCTGGATTCTCCTGAAAGGCTGGTTTTAGAAGCAGGGGTCTTGCCGAGTTTACCTAGCACAGTACTTGGATCAAAGAAATATGTGTCAAATGCTCTCCCTCCTAAAACAATAACTCCAGAGGCCCACAACTTTAGTTGATGCTAGAATAATAGTTTCATCTTCAGCATTTTATTCTGCATCTAACTACCCTCCATTGCAAATCCAAGTTTAGAGGCACAATTTATAGCCAAGTCACTAAGTTGAATGTTCCACTCTGTATACTAGATCACTAATGATTGGTTTGGGTAAAAATGAAACAAAAAGAAAAAGAAGTACTGCATTTTCAACATTTACTTTGTGGCCTCGCCTATCATTTAAATGACCAAATACACCATGTCATTGTTTCCACCTTGTTTTTGAAACCACATTTTCCAAATTGAGTAAGCGAAACTCAACAAAAAGAGGACAAAATGGGCCCAGTGTGTTTCTTTTCATCTGGTGAGGAGTCTCACATAGAGATGCTTCTCTCAGAGGTTGTATAATCGGACACTCCTGGTGCTGTCTGAGAGGTGAACCTGCCCTTGCAACAGCACTGCACTGCGTCACTGAGTGCCATCCCGGCCAGCTGGCTGCTCTTCAGAACAGCTCTCACTGTTGTCAGTTCCCTTTATGGTAAAACAGTTGCCCATTCAAACATGGTTGTAAAGATTCACGATGGACATGAGGAAAAAAGTCAATAAAATATCAGTCACTGGACTGTGCAGCTTACTGTCAGTCTTTCACACCAACCCCCTAGAAGAATCAGGAAAAGCTAAAAAGTGAAGTGCAAAGGAGGAAAATTCAATTTGTTCATGAATATAGAAAAAGAATAACTCTACCTATTGGTTGGGAAGCAAATAGGCCTGTTGGTGGCTCAAAAGGAGGGAGAGGTGCTGTGTAGGACAAAGACACTAACCTGGGTGGTCTGCGTCTGTTCTTGTTTTCAGAGGGTTTGCCATTGTGTTTGTGATGTTTATACTCTAGACATACTTGAAGGCAAGTTTTCACTGTTGTAATGGAAAAGATTATTTTCTACCCTTTGTTTAAGTATAGAAACATTGATTTGGGGATAGTAAAATGCTATATTTGTTTGTGATAAAGTATAGCACATCAGGTACATGAAACATTCTTAGTGATTAAACTGTGTGCCAAAAGCTAAAGATACATTCATTCACTGCAAGATTTTTATACTGTGACAAATTGATTAATAGAATCTCCTAAAAACAATTCTTTGTTGAAGTTAATTATATTTTTAAAAAACAGCCACCCTCTCATAAAAAAACCTCCACATATACAACTACAAAGCATTAGTTGATAAAATGTGTTAAATGAAGGGAAGCTGAGACCTGGCTCTCACCTCTATTTCTGCTGCCTGTTGCTCCACGGCCTTTTAGCAAAGCCTTTGATGTTTTGTGCCTCCTCAGATGCACCTGTAAAGTGAGAGGGTGGGATTCTAATAAAGGTCACTTTTAACTTTTTCCAGGATCTGAAGCAGAGCCCTCAGCATTTTCAGCTGGACAAAAGTATCTTAATGCAAGCTTCTATTTATCCTGGCATCCCCCAGGCAAGCCTCTGAAGACCACTGGAGTTGTTTGCAGTGGACCTCCTCGCCTTTGGCTGCATTTGACCATTCGCC